GGAGGGGGAGGGAAGAAACTGTGCAACAATGAATGAACATTTTAAAAAAAAGTGAACTGGGGAGGAGGAAGCAAAGGATAAGGAGAAAATGTGCAACAGTGGATGAATGAATGAAAATCCAACTTTTCTGTACACTTCATTAAAATCACAATTAAAAATTTAAAAGAAACAGGGGGGGAAATGCCTTGTGCTGCTTAAAATGTGTAGAGACCCAAAACAACAAAAAGGTTTTTTAAAGTAATTTCATCAGTAATCATACCTCTCAAATTTACACAATCAAGAGCGTATTTCTCAGAGTCAGTCAATGAGCAACACCCAGCAACCAACCTTCTACAACTGACTTCAACCCACTCTCACCTTTGAAACTCTTTGATGACCAAAGTTCCTAAAAACTCTATATGAGGCAAGGAGTAAGAAAAAAATTTTAATTATAATACTGGATTTTTTTTAATTAAATACAATAAAATGATCAAATAATTACAATATCCAGGTATTTTTTTAAATGGGGAGAATACATATCTTTATATTGGTATCAATAATAAGAGCATTCCTTTCAAATAATAAGTAAATCAAAGAAAATGTCACGCTGGAAAAGAGGGATATGAGTATTCTTGAGATTTAGCAGGGGCTGTCATTAAGGTAAGGAGCCTTTGTGGTACAGTGGTCAAGCTCTTGGCTACTAACTGACAGGTCAGTGGTTCGCCTATGTCATTAACTCTCTAGGGGGAGAAAGATGTCCCAATCTGCTTCTGCAAAGGTAGTGGTTGTTGTTGTTGCTGTTATTGATTGCCGTCGAGTCAAGGTCGACTCATAGCAACTCTATGAACAAAAAAGATCTAATGCCTTTCCATAGCCATCGTTGTTTCTCCAAGTTCATAGTTTCCAGAGGCATGTGGTTTAGGAAGTGGATGCCACTCTTCCTTCCAAATCTGTTTAACAACCGGGAGCTCCACCAAACACTGTCCACATTGGGAAACCATTTTGGTATTTGATACCCCAATGGCACAAGGTTCAGAATCATAGCAAACCCAGGTTACTTGATGCAGTACATTGACAAAGAGTGATGTGCAAAGGGGAAGAGTGTTCCACCAGATATAACAGTACTAGCCTCATTTAGCAGTGGTTAAGTGTCGTAAGCTTTGCACAAAAGACCTGAACTTGGTTCTAGAATTAACATGGTCTTGAAAATTAATAAGGCAGGTCTAACTGCAACTTGATGGCACATAACAACAGCTCTGAATCAGAATCGACTCAACAGTCATGCGTGTTTTTGTCTTTGGTCATCAATATAACACGAAGAGACAATGTCTACAGAGCCAATTACAACGATTCATCTCTTGTTCTTTTTCATATATGGAAATAAGACTCTTCCATTTCACCCAGAATAACTGTTCTGTGAAATAATAATTAAACTATCCTCAAGGATGAGCTCTTCCCATGTTTAATGGATTTATCATCTAACAAAGTTGTTGTTGTTGTTGTTGTTGTTGTTGTTATGTGCTGTCCAGTTGCTTGCAACTCATCGCGACCCTATGTACAACAGTCCTAAATTCTGCTCTGTCCTGTGCCAATTGCACCGTCTCCAACTCACCCATCCCGATTACCACAATCACTGAATAAATCCACCTCATAGGGGGCCTTCCCCTTCTGCGCTGTCCCTGCACCCTACCAAGCATGATGTCCCTCTCCAAGGACCTGTCCCTCCTTGCAACATGTCTAAAGTATGTCAGACGGAGCCTTAGAATCCTTGCCTCCAAGGAGCAGCCTGGTTTGACCCTTTCCCGGATGAATCTGTTTGTTTTCCTAGCAGTCCATGGTACCCTCAATACTCTTCTCCAGCACCAAAGCTCAAAGGCATTAATTCTCCATCTATCCTCCTTAGTCATTGTGCAATTCTCTCATGCATAACAAGTGACAGCAAAGACCATGGCCTGTATCAGGCGCACCTTAGTCTCCCAAGAGACATCATTGTTCTTCAGTACTTTGGAGAGGTCCCTAAGAGCAGACTTTCCCATATCAATATGTCTTCTAATTTCCTGGCTGCTGGTGCCGAGATTGTTGAGTGTGGAGCCAAGCAAACTGAAGCTGTGAACAATCTCAATCTCTTCACCATCCATCCTGATGCTGCCAATTGGCCCAGTGGCACATTGACCCTCAATTCATATTGGAGGCTGCAGTCCTTGACCCTCTGCAGCAAGTGCTTCAGGTCCTCCTCAGTTTCAGCAAGCAGGGTTGTGTCATCTGCATAACGCAGATTGTTGGTAGATCTTCCACCAATCTTGACCCCACATTTCTCCTCATAGAGCCCAGCCTCCCAGATAATCTGTTCTGCATACAGGATGAAAAGGTATGGAGACAGGACACATCCCTGGCATACGCCCTTCCCAATTTTGAACCATGCAGTGTTTCCTTGCTCTGTTCTGACAACTGCCTCTTGGTCCAAGTACAGGTTTCTCATTAGCACGATCAAGTGTTCTGGGATTCCCATTCTTCTCAGAATCAGCCACAGTTTGTTATGATCCACACAGTCAAATGCCTTTGTATAGTCAATGAAACACAGATATACATTCCTCTGGTATTCCCTGCTTTCAGCTAAGATCCATCTAACATTAGCTACAATACCTCTAGTACCACAACCCCTTCTAAACTCAGCCTGGACTTCTGGCAATTTTCTGCTGATTTGTTGTTCCAGTCGTTTCGGATAATCTTCAGTAGAATCTTGCTTGCATGTAAAATTAATTATATTGTTCTATAGTTTCCACACTCTGTTGGGTCACCCTCCTTGGGGATGGGAACAAATATAGATCTCTTCCAGTCAGTCAGCCAGGTGGTTTTTCTCCAGATTTCTTGGCACAACTGTTAGGGTAACATCTGTTAGCTGAAATATGTCAATTGGTATACCATCTATTCCTGGGGCCTTATTTTTTGCTAGTAGTGAGTAGAAATAAAATCTTTCCTTTTGTTTGGTAATTCATCTTGAATTGAGTCCACTCATATTTTTAAAACAAAATGTTTAAAAACTAACTTTTTAGTGCAATATGAGTGATACACATTTTCTTTTTTAGCACTGCTTGCAATACCTACATTGTAATAATACTCATTTCTCCTCAGTGTTTCCCATTTCCATTCATCCTTTTTTCCTATCCCTTCCTGCCTTTGAGCTTAACCCCTTGACAAATACTGCCCTTTGGTCTTGTATGGGTGACTGCTATAAGGCTTGTGTACATCCACACTTCACAATTTGTAATTACTGGTAACAGAAATAAACTACTTAGATTAAACTGGTACTCAATATGGTAGCATTATCATTTAAAGTCAAAACAGATACTTACATTTTTCCATTTCATCTATTCTTACTTCATAATCTCACTCTGTACTTTTACATAACAAACAACTGCTCAGAGTTTAACCTTGATATGGTTTTAAAACATTTTTCTAACTAGAGTATAATTACTTCCAATTAAAGCATTGTTCTGCCACTCAAAGATTCATCTTATTTACATAAATGCTAGTTAGACTCTATAAAAAATTTAAGATATATAATTAGAGTGTCACAGATCACTTAAACCATTCTGTCAAAACACAGATTATTTTAATTTTTGTTTCGCTTCCTTTAAAAGAAATCTTTATTTTTCTCAAACAGAAAAAAAATTAGTAGGATAAACTTTCAATGTACTTTCTCAATCAAACTTTAAAATTATTCTGGTTAACCACAAATTTGACTAAAGTAGTTAAGTATTTTTTTAAATGTATTTGACAGAAACATGTCTGACAACATATAATAATGTCATAGAGTAATTGGGTTAGGCTCTACGGAATTACAAATTACTTCACTGATTATTCTTTTTAGTCATTTACATATGAAAAGATGAGTTCTGTACTTATAAATTATCTAAATAAACTATAGAGTTTTGCTAATCTAAAGTGCCAATTTTGTAAATAGCTTTTATTTTAGGTTAAAACACAACCATCAAAAGTTTTTGTTAAACAACCCATTTCACTAAGTTGAATT